TTATAACTTTAAAATCTATAAAATGGTGAAAACATGTGGGCAGAATGAACAAATTTTAGAATGATAGCATTACATAGCTGATTCGATTACTTGACTCTCAGAAGTCATTTTTAGGTATTTGTGTGTATGCGTTATTTACTCAGAAAATCTAGTCCCATGCCCATCGGGAGACTAGATTTTTATTCGAAACCACTTTTGGAAATGGTTTCCCACTGGTCCCACACAAAGCCGGGGAAACCACAGAAAAACACTGCTTTCTCCCCACCGCAAATCTGTGTGACTCAGGCAGGCCAGTCCATTAGAACAGACAGCATTCTAATGCTGGTTTACAGCCCCTCTTTTCTCATGTGGACAGCTCTTAACCCTGAAATACTGTATTCAAATACTGCTCTCAGCAGCTCAGAATATCCGTAATTGCCTCTGTCTACCCGCTATTTGTCTCACATCCAAAATCCATAACAGATGAATTCCACTGACAGCACCTCCACAGGACTATCATACACGTTTTACATCAAATTGTCTTCAACCCTTTTCAAACCCATTTCTTACTTGTGGTCCTTGTTGCGCTACCTTTAGTATCTGCTATGATTTCCTCTGAAGAAAGTAGCACACCTAAGTGCCAGAGCCTTCCATTACCCACGTCACTCCCACACTCACCTAAGCTGTTCCCTCTACGTTCGAAGGATCTGGCCCAGGCTTTCCTCTTAGTTACACGTATTTGCTTTTGTATTCTCCCAACCCCACCCTCAACACCCTCCTGTCCTCCCCCAAAATAACCACATTTCTAAGGGCACAAAAATGTGGGTTTTGACCTTTTCAAAATCAGTGTAAATATCATTCTGTAGACATACATTCTGCTTTTTAGAGCTAAGAGGCAAAAACGGGTTCCAAGTGACTTTTGCTACACAGTCAGGTGATGGATTCAAGCTGGCTACAGGCGTTCCCAGGATTTATTACTGGCTGTTCGTTGTCATAAGAATGTTGATTCTGTTTGCAACCTTGAAACTAAAGCTCCCTAAAAAATTAGAGGATCTCTCATTGGACTGAGTTAACTGGGAAAAGCCCTGTAAGAGGAGGTACACAGACACACAGACACACAGACACACACACACACACACCCCCCTACCTGAAGACCAAACTCAGAGTTTGCCATAATCAAATCCTAAATGTATGAAGCTGTTGCCCACTGAATAAACAAAATATAATAATAAACATAAAATATAAACAAAGCCTCTATGCCTACCTACAATTATTAAATCCTAGTTTAAGGTGAGCTTCAAATCCATGTAATGCTCTTTAGTTTCTGAAATTATCTTCCTAACTGGAAACAGAGGACATTATAAGAATTCTTCCATAGATACAGCATAACCATTTATGACTGTCTGCTTTTCCTTATCGTAAACTGTTTTCAAAAGCATAAATTTTTCTCAAGCTAATCAAGTTAGGAAAACTGTATATATCCATATAAAGGAATAAAGTTGATCCTTCCATTACATCATATACAAAAATTAACTCGAAACGGATCAAAGACTTAAACATGAGAGTTAAAACTATAAAACTCTTAGAGGAAAACATGGAACAAAAGCTTCAAAACACTGGACTTGGCCATGGTTTCCTGGGTGTGGCACCAAGAGCACAGGCCACAAAAGTGAAAATAAACTGAACCACATCAAAATTTAAAACTTCGATGCAAAGGACACAATCAACAGGACAAAAAGGCAACCTCCAGAATGGGAGAAAATATTTGCAAATTATGTATCTGATGAAGGATTAATACCCAGAATATGTAAACAACTCCCACAATTCAACAAGACAAATGACATGATTTTTAAAATGAGCAAGAGACTTTACTAGGCACATCTCCAAAGAAGAGAGACAAATGGTCAACAAGCTTATGAAGAAATGTTTAACATGACTAATAATTAGGGCAATACAAATCAAAACCACAATGAGATATAACCTCACACCCCTCAGGATAGTTACCACCAAAAAAAAAATACCCCTCAATGTTGGTGAGGATATGGAGAACCTGGAACTCTGGTGTACTATGGGTAGGAATGTAAAATGGTGTGGCCATTGTGGAAAACAGGATGACAGTTAGTCAAAAAATTAAAAAATAGAACTGCCACAGGATCCAGCAGTCCCACTTCTAGACATGCACCACAAAGGTGTGAAAACAGGAACCTGGACGAGTGCACCCGTGTAGAGCAGCACTTTCCCCAACAGCCAAAAGGCGGAAGCAACCCAGACGCCCATCAACAAACAAGTGGGTAAACAAAATGTGGCACATGCACACAACGGAATACTATTCATCCTTAAAAGGAAAGAAAATTCTGACACATGCTACAATAGGAATGACCCTTGAGGACATTATTCCAAGTGAAACCAGCCAGTCGCAAAAAGGCAAATACTGTGTGATTCCACTCACATGGGGTGTCTAGAATAGTTACATCCACAGAGACAGAAAGTGGAATGAGTGGCTGCCAGGGGCTGGAGGGAGAAGCCAAGGAGAAGGTCTGTCACATGTGCAAAGATTCAGCTTCGCAAGATGACAGCTTTCTGGAGACTCACTGCACAACTATGGAAATATACTTAGTACTAAACTGGACACTTAAAATGGTTAAAATGGTAAATTTTGTGTTATGTGTATTTTAACCCAATTTTTATAGAACAAACTTAATGGAATATTTTGTACGAATAAATTAAATATTTTAATAAAGAAAATAGCCCTGGCTGGTGTGGCTCAGTGGATTGAGCACAGGCCTGTGAACCAAAGAGTTGCTGGTTCGATTCCCAGTCAGGGCACATGCTTGGGTTGTGGGCCAGGTCACCAGTAGAGGATGTGTGAGACACAACCACACATCAATGTTTCTCTCCCTCTCTCCTTCCCGTCCCCTCTCTATAAAAATACAAATAAATAATTTTTTTAAAAATCTACAGTTTTTAAAAAAGAAAATATTATGTTTATGAATAGCCTTAATTTCTAAATCTATTGCCACAAGTTTATTTTACATAAAGCATGTTATCTCTCAATATCAATATGCACAGAATGCTGTTAACACTGTAAATATCTTTTAAAGTAAAGAAATAATCTGTAGGATTGAAACTACCTATAAAATAACACACCTTACACACAATGCTCACATTCTGCAAAATTAATAAATTTATATGAATGTAAAGAATGTATGGTAATGAAAATAACTTCATAGCAAAAGCCTCCTGCTTCATTTCATGTTAATACTTCCTTTAAAGGTTTCAAAGAGCCTCACAAATCCCAGGGCACAAGCAAGAGAGGATTTCCTCTGTTTGAACCATAAATTGCACAGCAAAACTTTCACCACATGTTTGCTGAAAAATGCTGGACTGGATGATACGTGTAGTGTAGCTCACACCCCAGGGGCCTGCAGTGCTTATCCACCCCATATTAATCTTTAGCCTCGATTTGAGTAAGAACCCCGAAGTACAACTTATTAGTAAATTTGAAGAGAAGGTATTTCATAAGATTTAGTATTTGGCATTCAGATCTCAAAAATATATTTATCCATTTACATCCAGGAAAAAACATATACATTTTTAATTTAGGCTTAAAGTTCAAAGTAAACTTTAACTGTAGAGTTTACTTTAACTCTACAGAGGGTGTGTGAGAGGCAACCACACACTGATGTTTCTCTCCCTCTCTTTCTCCTTCCCTTCCCCTCTGTCTAAAAATAAATAAATATGATTTTTTAAAAATGCACAAATGACTAGGCCCCAATCTAGTGTGTCAGAATTAGAATGGTGGGAGTCAGAATTGAATATAATCAATTCAATTATATTCAATTACAGTCTCAATTTGATCTAATAATAAGCTGCTTGAGCACACAACCCTGTGCCAAAACAGTATACTAAGAATATTGGCATTATTTTATTTAAAGCAAAAATCAAGGACATAACTAAATAAAGAGCGCAAAGACTTGTTGGAGGAAAGACTGTACTGCATCGAGGGTATCAATCCTTGGTGATACTTGGGAAAGGCCAGTTTCTAAATCCTGCCTCCCACCATTCTAATTCTGACACACTAGGTTGGGGCCTAGTCATTTGTGCATTTTTTAAAGATCATATTTATTTATTTTTAGACAGAGGGGAAGGGAAGGAGAAAGAGAGGGAGAGAAACAACAGTGTGTGGCTGCCTCTCACGCACCCTCTACTGGGGACGTGGCCTGCAAACTAGGCATGTGCCGCAACTGGGAATTGAACTGGCAACCCTCTGGTTTGCAGGCCTGCGCTCAATTCACTGACCTACACCAGCCCAGGCTCATTTGTGCATTTTTAACAGGCACTCTAATAACATTTTGAGAAAAATGCAAAACATACCACCAGTAAGGTATGAACTACAAAGTCTTACAGGTATACCTTATAAGGAAGTTCAGACCTCATCCTATTTACATAACTAATACAGGAACCCTTTTACAATACTCATTAATTGATTTTAATAAGAAAGAATACCAACATATACATAATCAAATAAATAATATATACTTCTCTATAAGGTATGAAGCCTAATCACTTATTTTAACATCCATTGTTTAAAACTTAGAGTCACCTCTTCTTAGAAATAACGTTCAATACAGCATATGAGCCTTCAAAGACAAACATAAATTACAAAATGAAACTGGTTTCATTACATTATTGCTCTTTCTGGTTTTTTATTTAAGGTAGAGGTCCCCAGATTCATCATCCTAGTTCTAAACAAGTTCATACTACTTTCCAAACACACCCTCACAGGGTTAAGATTTGTGACCACAGAAAAATAGGATGCTTTAAAGAATAGTACCAGATGATCAAGATACAGAAAAAAATGTTTAATGTTTTGAGTAGAGGATAGAGAATGGCCTATCAAAAAGACAGTTTTGAACAAGATAATGCTCACTTGGATATGTAAGTTCAAGTAGGCTTTCTCAAAGCGTATCATTAAACATGACTGAACACGGGTCAATAGTAATGAGAAAAGAAGGCATTACCTGTGACTGCGCTCCTCACCCTCCTGCTGGGTTGTCCTTGCGCACTTCCCTCTAACAGACAGAGGAGCAGAAAAACTTCTCCAGCACTTGGCACTGCTAGGAACTCCAAGACTTTCAGAATCTATAGAAACGAATAAAAAAATGTTCCACAATCATGAATAAACTACCAAAACCCAAACTAAATTTTCCTAGTGTTTTCCTCCTCCCACTTGTTGTGCACCAAATAGTCTCCCCTCAGATGGCACTTACTTTACCATTTAAAAAAAATAAGCAAAACCCAAATCTTTATTTAGAGATCTGAATGCCAGCCAAAAATAAGAGACCCCTAATGGGTAACAGAGAGCAGAGAGGAAGATTCCTCCATCTCTAAACCATGTTAAGTCATTATATGGTTCTTCCACAAGAGAAAAAAAACATGAAACTAAGTAAGTCCATATCCATGCATCAGCAGCACCACATTAGTTAATGACAACAAAACACAAAATAGCAAAGAGAGGGCCACAAAACATTTTCAAAAACAGCCTTTTAAAAATATGCAATTGCTCCCAAAATATTCCCAGGTGCCTTTGACTTATCTAAACACTGAGAGTTCCAAGTTCAGGGATTTCGCTGTCCCCTGTGCAAAGGTTACTTGCATTTGGTCTTAGACACACCTCGTATCAGCAGGCCTCACTGGGAAGGTGAGTTTCACAACACAAATATTGGCTTCCTCCCTATTTACCGCAATTTTGTCAACCATCAAAAAATTTTATGTTTATAATAAACTGGGGAAATGCCAATTATCATATAAAAAAGAAAAAGATATGGTCCAATGTTGTAATTACATGTGACCATAACGACACAGAAGCAAGAAACAAGACACGGCTTGTTCTGATGGACTTTTAAGTAGTAGGTAAAATATTCCCCCCTCTTTAGATGCGTTTAGGTGAGCCATTCAAGTCAGAGCCTAGTACATATATATCTTTTCAAGATTCCTGTCTAAAGACTTCCCAAGCCCCAAAGCATGAGCCACTCATTCATGTAATCATTTTTCTGCAGTAGTTCGATATATTTAAAGATGGCTCCATGAAAAGTTACTATAAGAGGCTTTCCATGTGTGTGTTTTGACCTATACATGCCTTAAAGGCATGGAATGCAATACCTTTTCTTATAACGAATGTTTCATGGAAGGAAAACAATGGGGTTAAGGGAACCTCAGTGTGACCTCAATCTTCAAAACAAGGCACAGCAGTGGTCATGACCCGACACAAGCAGAGTGAGTGTGGGACATGAACAGGAAGGGTAAGGTGTGTGGTGCCGGGTGGGTACTAGACTCATTGGGGGACCAGTTCTTGTAAATTATGTCTGACCCTGTGCTAAAGATCTGAAACTAATACAAAATAATATCGAGTGCCAACTGTGACTGAAAAAAATAAAAATAAATAAAAAGTAAAGGGTAACATTTCACATGCAAATAAACAAACTCTTCATATTAAAATTTCCTCAGTACCTTCAAATCTGCCTTCTTCGTGCTAATCAATGAATCATTTATTAAGCCCCTGGGGCCTTGCAGTATAATTCATAATCAGATCTCTGGGCATTTAACAGCAAGAGGTTTTATGAGTAAAAGAACCCTCCTCCTTCCGTAAACCCACATGCACAGTTTTATCATCATGTGCTGCAGAGACACAGGCTGTTCTGCTGCCTCTTAAGAATTACAGATTGCTCCCAGACGCTTTTCGGGCGATTTCAAGCCGCTCCTCATTCGGGGACTCTTGAATTATGAAAGGGCATCTCTAATTCATGAGAGATACTGCTCCCATCTTAGTGCTCATTATCACACCCCCTCCTTACATGCTACGTTTTTAGGCACCCCCACACATAAGCTTTGACTTGGGTAACAAGGCATCACTGTGTATCACTAAGGGCTTTGCTGGGAACCCTCTTATATTTTACCATCAGGATGTCGCCGGCAGCAACTTCAAAGGAAGCCGAATCCTTTGACAGTAATGCACAGAATGACATCGAAGGCAAGGTTAAACGGAACCCAAGTACATTAAAAGGACTCTCTAAAAATTCACTAGGTCTTGACAATTCACTTGGCTGTCATCTCGTTTAAAAACAAAATATGTCTCCTGTTAAAAAAAGAGGGGGAAGTTGGCAGTTAACGATTCAGGCACATTCAAATCTCTCCCCAGGCAAGTGCTTTCCTCCTAACAAAACATTCAACCTCCGCATAATCAAATCATATCCATGCTTACAATCCTTCCATGTAATAGCTATGTCACATCCTCAATTTCAACAGAGGAACAAAACGGAAAGCTCATTTCCAGATGGCATAAATTCAGTGAATTTAGACTTCTCTTGTGCTGAGCTCAGAAATCAGCTAACAGGCAGGGAGTGCACCAAAGACACAGCAAAGCCACCAAATGAACACGGGGTGTGGGAGGGCTAGGGGCAAGATACTTAACATCCACATCATGGATTTCTGCCTCTATCAGTAAAACAAATGCAGGAGGTGTGGGTGTATCCATAGCACTGAATTAATTGGCCTGCGTTATAATCAAGTGCTTTCCTATAGGGTAATTAACAAATCAATCAAGGAAGACAGAAGTCTCAAACAACTCAACAAGTTTTCAAATACATGGAGTAGACAATGAGCCAATTTATTGAATAATTGCATTCTCCGAAAGAGCTGAACTGAGACGCAAGGGTTATGGTCACATGTGGAAACTTGCAGAGTGGAACAAAATATTCTACATAAGCCCTCAATCACCACTGACTCAATTAAGTATATTAATAGTAACTCTGCGTCTTAAAATGGATGAATCTAAATCCAATCCCTGAATTTTACAGATGACAAAATTGAATCAGAGGGAGGCTAAGTGACCTGCTCAAAATTAAGTAGCTGGTAAATGGCGAAGACAAAGGTAGAATCCTTATTCTCCAATCCACGTAATGCTCTAGCTACCCATTAAGTTGATTTAATTCCACCCAGTGAACAGCAGAACTTTTAAAAGCTTTGGGAAAAGTTGAGTCAAATAAACCTTCCATCTTCAATTTCCATTCAATCAATCCCTAAGGGGTTTTGCATTAATCACATAGAATTATCTTCTTTAGCCAAGACACCCAGTGTAATTTAGATGACTTTGGGAGGGTCTCAGCCACGAAACAAATTAGTGAGTTGCAGCATATCACAGAGGAGGAAAAGCAGGCAAAGAGAGAGATGACGGGCACCTTAAAAATAAATCAAGAGTACTGATTTATTAACATGAATAATGAAGGTAAATGAAAGCAACTTTCAAGTACTAAAGTGATATTTCCCAACGTGACAACTACTTGTAAGATGTTTCTTAAAGGAAAAAAATCATAGTCATTGCTTAAGGTCCTATATTCAAATAAATTAGGAAATGCAGCAATTTTAATATCCCTCTTGAACATTCACGAAGTACCTAATGCAGATTAAGGCTCTGAGGCCTGTAGTAGAGACCCCTGCTTGGCTTTGTTTAAACCGACATTTCCCAGTCATATTTGACAGCTTTGGTTTGCAGGGCTTGTACAGACATCCTCCGAGAAACAGTTCCTAGTATTTTTTGAGTTGTTTTTTTTAAATCAATAGTCAATATTAAATTGTAGCAGATATCTTTTCTGTAAAAATTGTATGATTTCTTACCTACTTTTATTTAATAAGATGAGGAATGTCATTAATAAATTTTATACTACTGAGCCCTTCTTTCATTCCTAAAATAGTCCTCATGTGTGATAGTGTATTATTATTCTTTTAATGTGTGAAAGTGTATATTAAAAGTGTAATCTCACCCAACTTTCTAAGCAACTCTGCAAGGCGGACACTACTCCGGCTGCTCTGGCTCTCACCCACCGGGCTCCAGGTCCCCTCTCGCTGCTCCCCACACACACCCAGCTTGCTCTCAGGGACTGTGCAGTGCCCGCCAGACATGCTGTCCCTGAGATCCTCTACCCCCAGGTACCCTTCTATATCGTGCCTCTCTCCACTTACGTCTCTGCTTACCTGTCACCTCAACACAGGGGCCTGCCCGGTCTATCCCACATAAAACAGAAACTGCCTCTCAATCTTGTCGCTCAATCCAGTCACCCCAACCCTGTTTTATTTTTGTTTGTAACAACTGTCAGCATCTAGTACATATATTTGAAGAGACAGAGAAGGAGAGGGAGTAAGGGAGAGAGAGAGAGGGAGGGAGGGAGAAAGAGTGAGAAACATGGATTTGTTGTTCCACCACCAATCCACACACTCATTGGTTGTTTCTTGTATGTGCTCCGACTGGGGATCGAACCGCAACTTTGGCGTACTTGGGACAACATTCTAACTGATGGAGCTACCCGGCCAGGACCTAACATACATTATATTTCACTTGTATTAATTTATATTCCCTTGCCCAGAGTAGAATGCAAGCACCACAAGAGCAGGGGTTTTGTCTGCTTTGTGCATTGCTCACTTCCCAGCACAAAGAACAGGCCTGGCACATAGAAATTACTACTTAGTATTTGCTCAGTGAATGAACGAATAGCCATTTTATAGACAACAAAACTGAAACTTAAAGAGATTATGTAACTAAAATCACACAGTGGCAGAGCTGAAACTGAAACTCAAGTCTAACTTTCAATTCGCTACACTTAACCATTAAAAAAATCACAGGCATACAGGAACAAATTTAAAGGACACATGGGCAAAAACTGGGGGGGTGGGTAATGGGAGGGAAGTGGGGAGGGATGGGTGGGTGGGCTGGAATGGGAGTAAAAGGCAGAAAACTGTACTTGAACAATGATTAAAATAAAAAATTTTTTTAAAAGATAAATGAAATACAATGTGAAAAATAAAGTGTGTTGTGAATATTGTTATGCTGTAGTATTATGCAAATTTTAAGAATTATACCAAATATTAGTGTGTGGTCATAATCTATAAATTCCATTTGTTAAGTACAAAATTAAATTAAATTTTTAAAATAAATTTTGTTTTCTTTAAAAAAAATCACAGGCGATTTAAGGCCATACAAAATGCTCGTGTGACCTGGTGAATACTGAAGCACAAGCCAGCGACTCCAGCAAAAGTCCAAGGAAAACTGCACAGAGGGCCCGTGCACAAGGTAAGCAAAATAATCAAAA